AAAATCACCCAAAAGAGGTGGTCGAGACATACGATGTGCAGCATTTGTAGTCTGTAGTAGCAACGCAACACAGATGCATGCTACATATATCAGCTCTTGTGATCACCGCTGGAAGAATGCGGGTTGTTATTGATGGCTTGGTAGTCCACGTCGGAGTCGTTAATTACCGCAATTGAATCATCCGTGTTAAATGCTGGCGTGATAATTACGCGGCAATTTGACTCGCTGGTGGCTCGTGCATTTCCCGCGTGACTGATCCTCCTGCTCAGTCTAATTCTCAGTACAGAATATGAAAAAACGGCAGATCAATGCACTTTTGAGGGACAGCGGGCCTGTAATTTATGACTTGAGAAGTTCGCGGCTTACGCGGTTGCCACCTTGTGTGAGGATTTCGGCCTCGTTAAACTTGAAAATAGGACCGGGTCCTTTCGAGTGAGTTACAGTCAGAGAGTTAGCGCCTATCGGAAACGTTCCCGTTTTCATAATCAGACTACTGTAGTTGCTGCGAATAGCGAGACTCAAGAAGCAGTTCAGAAGATGATACGATCGTTTGAGAGTCTGGAATTTTTTTGCAATGATTACATCTTCTTCCAAACGTTGGGACTTCTGAAGAATATTCATTGGCTTTTCATAACCTGATCGGCGATATTAATTTTTCCGCCATTGAAACGACCAGATTAGTTCTCATTGTAACGTCGAGGAGGATAATGATGGTGGTGAAGATGATGGTGGATGTGGTGGTGGTAGTGGTAGTGGTGGAGATTATGATGAAGATGCGTTTTTTTAAATTCAGTCTACCCGTTAAATCATATTACTTAATGATTGTTTCGTACAATTTTAGATACCAGGCGAAGGAGACAGTGGTGGCGGTCTATTCTGCCTTTCGGAAGATGACGGCCGATGGTTCTGGTATGGATTAATAGAGGGCGCTGCAAGAAATCCCAGGGAAGAATGTGCAGTTATCAGCAAATTCGAAGCCGTTCACACATGGATCCAAGCAACTGCGTTATACCTGGGCCTGTGATATGGCCGTTTCAGGATGATTTAAATAAACATGAAGCTTTCCAGAAAACGGAGCTCAGTGTTGGGTAATGCCAAAGTACCAGCTCTTTCACGTTACAATGAGTTAAACCGAAGCCGATGAAGTATCAGGGGCGCATCCGACAGTAGAAAAAGCACTCGTTGATTAACATTCACCAAACATTCACAGAACTCATTTGTCCCGCTCTGCCTTGGGTCACATTATCGAGCCCCGCCAGCAACCGCACAGAGGCCAGCAGTCTTAGCAGATAGTATTGCCGGCAAAAACAGGAGAGACTGGAATGACCATTTCGGGCTTATTAACCGTGGTCAAGCAGTCATATCCAACCCCCAAGTGATTCACTACCCGAGGCTTGAACTAGCGACCTTTTTGAGCAGAAGTCTTAAGTGCTAACCATTGAACCACGAGCTCGTTGTCATGCCGCTTTAGAACACAAGAGAAAGACAATTGTTGATGGGTGAACACTGATCACTGAGGATGTCGGGCATGACTGGCTGACAACGGCT